ATATTTTATGAAAACGTGTAGTTTACGGAAAAATACTGAAAAGTCGCAGGTAAAATGCAAGAACGAATTTTATAGCAATTATGCAGTAACCAAATTATAATATATTACTAATCAAATTATTATTACCTTTTTCAAAGTACGGACACTCCATCTACTCTTTTGTCGATAAAAAAAGATCACTCGACTCAAAGTGTGAAAACTTGAGGGTGCATTTTAATTATCGCAACTGTATTTTAAATAACTTTTTAAACTAGTTCTTTTATCAATATTGTAATGATACAACTGATATTTCTTAACATTTCAATTTCTACTAGCGAATTTACTCGATGTAAACGCACCATCTCTTTGATTCTAATTGCATAAAGTGGCAACTTAAGCGAGCCACGCCTCCATGATAATCGAATACCTACAGTGCATTGGATGCAGGATCACATCGCTGAGTTGGGCTAAACAGAAACACATTCGAACACAAACTAAATCTTCCACCATGCATGAAAAATATACAGACAAAACATAACCGCCATATCTGGGCAGCTACGACAGAACAGCCTTTCAATTCCACCGGTAAACTGTCGATAAATGGTATTTAACGGTTGAGACGAAAATTACCATGGGGCAAGTGCAAGCTCCGTCAAACATTTAATTGTTTACATGAATGGACTTTACAGTGGAGTGACCATATCACTTTGGTGTTCATCAGAAAACGCAAAGGAACATGCCAATTGCTTAGGATGCTGAGAATATCACCTGCGAGTGAGACAGTTCACCCTCTTGCCTTTGGTTCTCTGCTGCCGGAGGTCACCTATGCAGGTTCGGTGGCTTTTGCCTGTTTCCAGAGAAAAGGCTGTATATTCAGGGGTCCAAATAGATGCTTCGTGATTTCTCGCATCAACAGAACCGATCGCGACTATTTTATAACGGTAACCATATGGTAGGGCCAGTCATTACGGATGAACTATGGACCCGTTACACATTAGGTTTCGTAAAGCCATCTCGGCAGATCTAAAAGTCAGTCAACGCCATCTAGTGAAACATGACGGTACCTCGACTGTCAGTCTTACCCTTTATTTCGAAAGCAGAATAAATTTATCGTTGATAACCTCAGTTCGTGAGAGTGAAGGGGAAGAGAATTTTTCATATTTTTAAGGTTTTGTTCTGATCTGCTGCAACGCTTTCCTAGAGAGAATTCTATATTATACTGATAACAGCTGTGTTTCCCAAAAGAAAAAAGTTATTCTTCCCTTTTTAAATTTAATTAAATTATATTTCGTATTAACTATGCCCCTCTTAGTCTGACTTTCAGCACATGAGCATGGTTAGAATGCGAAAATGGGTTCTAAAGATGATATACAGCTGAATCTTTCAGCTTTGGCAAGTAGAACCATGCTGCAAAAGTTTGAGAAATATACAGGAGATCAGGTGGAAAGGCAACAATTACCAACCCTCCTGGTCAGTGTAATGAGTTGTGGCCACACCCACATGAAATCACAACGAAAATAGGGTGTTCATTCCTGGGAAGCTGGGTCGTCACTAGTTAGAAATGAAGGCAAAGAATTTTCAGAATACCCCGTTAAACATTCGAGATGTGACGCTGCCAACGTTTAATTGAATATCATCCCTAGATGAAGTCATTTGAGGATTCAAGGAAGTCAGACGAAAGGAGAAAGAACTGTTAGAGCTCAAAAGTGGACATGCCTTGTTTTACATATGACTGGAAAATAGAAGTACATGAGGAACAGGGTTCATTATCGAAAGAGGGTTAAGCAACAATATAATACAAGTGGACAGCGTTTCGCAGACTTCTCTTGAGAGTTTCAAGGAGATACGAACTCCAAGGGATCCAAGCATTTGTGAATCTGCATCAAGCCTTCCTGAGGAAAGGATCACTGAATTTAAAAGAACAACCGGCCGAAGTGCATGAACATGAAAAGAGTCAATGCAAGTAAATCATTGGTGGCTTCATTGCCAAAGTCAGACAACAGAAAAAGTGCGAATGCCCTCTGGGCCGATTTGATTACAGCGAAAGGAACTAATGGGGTAACAGACAAGTGAAATGTGCTGAAAATAACAAAAGTTATTTATGAACGAATTTTTTCAGAGAGCCAACAAGCAAGAATGAAAATGGAAAGACCCAAACGCCCTAGAGAGTGAAATGAATTTCATTCTCAGTAGTATGAAAAGCACGGTGCAGAATGTCACTATAATGAAAAGGTTCGACGTAGGGTGCGACCACAAGAATGCCAGATTCAAAGTACGTCTGGACGCAGCTTTGGGTATCGCTGAAGATGAGATGCAAGATACTCGATGTGGAAACCATGAAGAAATCCAATTGTCCTACACGAAAAACAAGAAGAAGAAGTAGGAAAGCAACAGATAAGAAATGAAAGATCTAATATGTGAAACTTTGCAAAACTTTAAGAAAATGAGTCAAAGAAGACGTCCGGCACTCAACTGCATTTGGAAAGGAAGCAATCAAAACCAATCAAAGTGGAAAAAAATTAAATCCTCGATTCACCGTCTAGAAACGACAGATTTTAGATCTCCAAGAAGAAGACGGAAGTGTTATCAAGAATTGACAATAGACTCTAAAACAAGTGGAAGAATTCTATAGAAAACTGTACGCAGGTGAAGTCAGCAACACCATCAATTACGAAAAGTGGCCTGAAGGTGCAAAATAAGTTGAAGAAACTTCGGATATCTTGCCAGGAAAAACGACATGCAATAAAACAGGCGAAGCGACGCAGAGCACAAGCAGGAGTCTGGAATGTCATTGTTCGAGGGAAGAAGTCAAAGTAGAAATGGGTTGAGCACGGTGCAACAACAGACGACCGCTGAAGCAGACAGACATTGGACAGTGTTTGAGGAGAGAGTAATCCGCTCGTAGAAAGATCTCCAGATCGCTGGTGAGATGAACTGAAGAAGGCCGCTAGATCATTAACAAAATTGCCGGAACGCAAAAGTCTATGGTGAAGTCTTGGAGAGGCTTTCCTCCGAAAACGGCTGATGATGACGACCATCCGTTATATCGATTATAAGAACATTATTTTATAAGCTGTTTCATTGCAAATACTGAATATTGCCGCCATAACTTTAACGTTTGAACTTTGAGCGGTAAATAAAGGATCCTGAATATGAAGGTAGTTAATCCGTTGAAACTCGTTTAATCATATACCACTGTTAAATACGTCAAAAACTCAAGGGGAATTAAATTTATTCGCCTTAGAAACTTAAGAAGCAATGCATTGTTCGAATATCCAGGCACCGCATGAAAGCCTTTCCACTGAGAGGACGTAGCTGCTTCACCAGACAGAGGAGTCACAGCTGCCACAGTTTAGACACGATTTTTGAATGCTTCAGAAAGGAGGGAGAAACTGATACTGCTTGCTCGACAGATTGGCCAAGAATGTTCTAGAAGAAATGCCTCAAAGGAATATGCTTCAGACTCAGATTGTCTTTAGTCGAAGTCCATACTTTGGAGACTCTGTAACGTTGATCGCTCCCTGACCTAGAAGGATAAGAGGCCATCGAAACCGAATGACTTATTGACTGACTAAGTTTCATTCAAATCTTGTGCACCACATAGCAATGGTCTACTTTAGAGCAAAAGTGTGTAAAAGATCGTGCTGCTGGTCGAAACATTTGCAATAAAAAGAGTCAGAGCCTCACTCTTGCGCCAATAGTCGTTGACTCAAAGCATCATCTACCGCACAAAGCATGTATATCAGAATCAAAAATAACTTTGAATTTGTTTTCAAATCTAATTCGCTTCTGTTCATTTGACCAGATTTCGTCTGCCACATCGACAGAAGCGGTAGACACCAGTTTAACTGTTTGCTGAATACCGCAGGAGCATAGAAACAGCAGACTGGAAGAGAGCTGAAACATTAACTTCCATAGGAAAGCTTAAAATGGCAATGTCTGTTAGCGTGAATAACAAATCAAATCTGTCATCCCAGCAACTGATGTGAATATTTTGATTTCATTCGATTTAAGATGTTATTTTAAATGTTGATGGCCTTCTTTTTCCAGTTACCAGATTCACAGGAGAACAGCTTTCGATTCTTATTTTACCCGACTGTACAATA